TGGATCTGAAGCCTGATTGGAAGGGTTCGTAGAGCTCATGGTCGGACATATGATGGTGGAGTTGGGCAGCAACTGCTCTTTCCATGATCTTGCTAAGAAAAGGAAGGTTGGAGATCGGCCGGAAGTTGCTGGGGTCCTCTGGGTCGAGACCAGGTTTTTTGACGATGGGGGTGACAGCTGCTATCTTGAGGACAGCGGGAACCTTGCCTGATTCCAGGGAGGAGTTGATAATTTTAACAATGGTGGAGCAGAGGATGGGTAGGCAAGTTTTGACCAGGGCAGAGGGCATGGGGTCGAGGGAGCAGGTTGTAGCCTTAGCTTTTGAGACAAGTTTGGTAACCTGTGTGGCATCCACTGGTGCAAAGGAGGAGAGACAACATTGAGGCAGGTGTTGAGTTGAGCGAACAGTGACTGGAGGTGGTGTGGCATGTGGATGGGATGGGGCAGAGGCCTGGAGTTCCTGGTGGATGGAGTTGACTTTGTCCTCAAAGAAGTCAAGGAACCTGGTGCAAAGCTCGGGGGCGTCTGCTGGGTTGGGGGGGTCAATTGGGCGGAGTAGGCGGTTTATGGTGGAGAAGAGCATACGGGGGTGGTGTTGCTGGTTACCGATGAGTGAGGAGTAGTAGTGTGCCTTAGCTTTTGAGAGGGCGACATTTTGTTTATGGTATTATTTCCACATATTTCTCTCCATTCTTCCTTCTGCCAACGCGGTGTCGCAGTTTCTCGTCTCTCCCGTTTTTATGCTTAGTGCGTACGCATGGGTTAGAGTTTGCGTGGAGGACCGCACGTTTTCCCGTCAAGTTAGTATTTTATAAATCGCAAACATTGCGTAGAAACTGGCGTACGCCATTTTTTGAGCGTATATCCCTTTTATAAATGAGGCCCCTGACCATTACATGTCTCCCCTGAATTAAAAGTTTGAAATGCTGGTGGACCAACACTACTGCCCGCAGCTCTAGGAGGTTGCTGTGCCGTGTCTCTGTTAGAGACCAGCGCCCCCCTATAGCTTTCCCAAGGCAGGTCCCTCCCCATCCAACACTGATGTAGGAGGTCACCCGTCTCAGCGGGGACCCCCTCCAGAGGTGATCCGGGGAGCCCCAGAACCAGAGGTTGCCCTCCACTGAGGGGGGATGGTCACCAGACGCGGTTTGTGTCTCTTGAGATCTAAACGCAAGCTGGAGAACCACCTCTGCAGGTGGCGCATATGCAGTAACCCAAGCGGGACCACAACATGAGCTGCCGTCATGAGACCCAAGGTCTGCATGACAGTCAAAGCTGTCACTGTTGCCCCCCTGTCGCAGTCTGCAAACTGCCCGAAGCAAGGATGCTTGTCTGCTCTCTGACAGGGTGGCGCATAGCCTGCCTGCATCGAGCACCACTCCCAAATACAACGCCTGATGCTCTTCTTCCAATTGATCGCAAAACCCAACTTGGTTAGGTGTAGGATCAATTGGGCTGTATAAAACATTGCCCGTTCCCTGGACCTGGCCATAACTATGAAGTCGTCCAGATAAAAGAAAACTCTCATGCTCCGGCTGCGCACTTGCTGAACATGCACGGGGACAGGGAGTAGCCGAACGGCAGCCTGTTGTACTCATAGGCCACCCCCTGGAAGGCAAAAACGCAAATACTTTCTGTGTTTCGGATTAATCCCGACATGAAGGTAAGCGTCCTTCAGGTTGATGGTTGTAAACCAATCGCCTGGCTGCACCAGTCCCAGTAATTGTTTTATAGTTAACATCTGGAATTTTCTGCGTGCAATGTGGAGATTCAGACTGCGAAGATCCAGAATGGGCCTGAATTCGCCTGTCTTTTTGGGCACCAGGAAGACAGGGAATAATGCCCCCCCCCTCTCTGTCTTGCGTGTGCACAGCAGACACTGCCTGTTTTTGCACCAAGGCCTGAACCTCTGCTGAGAGAAAACCTCAGGATGATAGCTTTGCTTCTCTTATGCCTGTGAACGGAGGAGGGATGCTGCAAAACTGGAGTGAATAACCCAGTCTCAGCGTCCTGTCCATCCACTCCGTTAACACGCAGCTGCGTTTCCATTCCCCATAACACTGTGTTAGGGGATGTGCAATCAACTGTGGGGCCCCAGCAATAAAGCCGTGGTATTCTCTGGCGACCCGTCCGGCTGCAAAACTCCCCATGAAGGGAAGCTCTGCCCATGGGGGGGGTCGACACAGGAAGGGCCGACTCTCTACTGAGGTCCTTGACCGCGCGCGTTCCGCCATGATGTTTTCACCCAAACAGTGAAAAACATCAAGCGGAGTTTTTACACTTGGCGTTAATTATTTCCTAACCCTGCTACGCCGGCCATAATGTCCCTGTACCCGCATAGCGCGGTTTATCACTCTCACCCGCACATGCGCACTAGCTGCCTCCTTTACTGGAGTTACAACCTGGGCAGTGAGTGGGGAAACTGTACTGTCAACGTTACGTGGCAGTGTGGGTGTGTGGGGGAAAAAGAGACACTCAAACTGGAATACAATTTATCTTTTTTATTGGAGAAAGATGTTATTGCAACCAAAGGGTCAAACAGGGAGGAGGCGGGATTCACCCTCACGTCTTGGCCGGAGAATTCCCCTCTCTCTGCCGGGACACTTCCTCCCGCCGCCAGTCAACTCCTGGAAGACGGAGCTCCCCACCCAGTACCCCTTCGCTGCAGCGGGGGCCGGAGCTGGGGCCGGAGCAGGAGCCCGCCGGGTTCGACCAGTCTGTCCCTGTAGGGGCCGGTACTGAACCGGTACCTCAGGACGGGCCGCGGAGGCAGAGGGCGCGCCAGGAGCTCTAGGGGCTCTGACCCGGCGCCTCTCTCTCTGCCTTACCACCGCCGGGCGCACTCCTCCATGCGGAGGGACCTGAGGGCGAGCATGCAACATGCGGCTGAGCTGCGCCCTCTCCCCCTCCAGGCGGCTGAAGCGCTGGGTGACCGAGGATATCGATCCGAAGAGCCCTTCCATGGCAACGGGGGCCCCAAGGAGATCATCTGTCTTTTCTGGTCAGTGCGGTCAAACCTAGCCACACGTGACGCGACGCCACGGTGGTCAGGGCCCTCACTCGACCGGCTGCGGTAGCCATACCGTGGACCAGATTATTCATCTGGCCCACGCAGCGGTCCGAATAATCACTCCCGTCCTCAGGCGAGTGTTTCCTGCTGAGGGGAAATCAGCGACACTCCCAACACACCTAGATTAATGGCCGCCGCTGCCATCTATATAATAATAATAATGATATTGGGAGGGATGAAACCCTCTTTAATGGTCACACATGCAGAGCACACAGCACACAGTGAAATTTGTTCTCTGCTTTTAACCCATCCTAGTACCAGGAGTCTAGTACTAGGAGCAGTGGGCAGCTATTGCACAGCGCCCGGGGAGCAATGGGAGTGAGGGGGGAAGGGGGTTGTCCGGTGCCTTGCTCAAGGGCACCACGGCAGGGCAGGAGGTGAACTGGGACCTCTCCAAGTAGCAGTCCACACTCCATTTTTAGGTCTGGTCAGGGACTTGAACCGGCGACCCTACGGCTCACAGTCCAATCCCCTACTGACTGAGCGACTGCCGGACCTGACTGAGCCACTGCCGGACGCGCCCCGAGCCTGAATATCTTATCCAGATATTCAAGCATCTCGCGGTCACGCGACAGTGGGGGCAGGGGCCTTCTCTCCTCTGCCCACCCAGCTGTCAGCGGAATCAGATGTGTCCGGGTGGCCCTCCACTCTGAGGATTCCAGCCCAAGTAGCCACCGGAGCTTTCGTTCTCAGTGGCTGCCGCCACGTGGCCTCCACACACCGCCAGATGTCTCGCAGGGGGGGGTGACACAAAGGCTGGCTATGCTGGACAGGCCGTAAAAGCCCTGACGCAGGCGGCTCACCGGCAACGGTGAGGGGAGCGGCAAGCCTGCACGCTCTGCCGCCATAGCCCTCACCGCCGAGAAGTCCTGTCGTGCAGACCTGTTCTGCTGATGGCCTTCCTGGCGGTCACCGTAGATCTCGGACGACGAGGTGTCATCATCATCCCTCTCTCCGACCCGTCCGGGCCGCTGGGATGGCGAAGACGAAAAGCACTCCCTGCTCGAGGTCCTCCATCTCCACCACGTCGAACTCTGGGTCCTCCACCGGCGAAGCGTAGCACCCCTCAAACAACGCCAGCCTTTGATGGCGGCCGGAGCGAGGAATCAGTCGGCAGGCGCTGCAGACTGCAGTCAGAGCCAGGTTGGCCGCCGTGTGGTCGGACCCCAGGCACTCGATACACCGGTCATGGGGGTCGTCACCTTCAATTAAAACACGGACACGAAAGACAGGGGCGCTCCACAGGTGAGTCCATTGTTCTTCGTATGCTTTTTGTAAAAGATGTATTTGTCCGTCTCTCTTCACTCAGTTACTCACTGCCTTGCTGAAGAGAAAGGGATGGCAGTGAGGAGGCGAGGCCTCCTCTTATGCGGTGAGATACGCGCACATTCAGGTAGGCCCGCCCAGGGGCCGGCTACGTCTAGAAAGTCTCAGCGAAGGAATGCTTGCATGATAGGATCGAGGGGAGTACCCATAGTGTCCAGTAAAGGGCGGAGCCTGTGAGAGATATAACCAAAGGTCTTCAAAGAAACCTAATAAACGTGAAAGTCAGTTATCAGTAATGATGCGTGTATGGGTGTGTGAAAATGTGCAGAAACAAATACGCGGCCGTGTCCAACAGAAGAATGAGAGAGCAGTATGGGTTAGTGTTGGCCTTTTATGTCGACGGCCCAGTTGTAGTTCATCAGGTTGATCAGCTGAAACACAAACAAGAACCAGCCAGCAGAACACAAAGGCAGAGACCCCTAGTGGAGTGGAGGGGGTCGTAACCCAAATAAATAAGTCTACTATAAAATAAGTGACTGGTGAGGTTAAAAATGTTAGATGAACAAAGGGTTATTCACTAAAACAACACATTTATAAGCGTTTGCATTTTTATGAACCTCTACACAATGAACATTTTTAGCTCTTTCTCTCATTTCTCCCACAGGATTTTGAGGCGTGGGTGAATGACACAGCGGAGCATGGCTTTGTGGTCGTTTCGTTTGGAGCTGGGGTCAAGTACCTTTCCCATGACATAGCTCACAAACTGGCAGGAGCCCTCGCCAGGCTTCCCCAGCGTGTCGTCTGGAGGTAAAGTACCTGTTCTCTCACTCTGGAAACCACTTACAGTGACAGATGTGAAAATGATTTTCTAATAAGGTTCAAGTTACTGTATCTCCTCCAATCAGCACTCAAGGGGCAAATGTATTGCTTTATATGAACCCCCATTATCAGCTATACTGTGCACAATACATCGGTTTTTAAATTGTCATTGAGCTGTTGAAAAGGAATCTAACTTCGATACAACCAATGTTAATATCTAGGCCGTCTCCGATACCGAGATCCGGTGCTGATAAGGCTCCAGAAAACGTCCGTCCAATCCTTTTAGGACTAAACCCCCCAGAATCTACACGCAAGATCAACGTAATCTGCTTAGGGGGGCGCTTACAACATGGCCTCTAACACCATGCTGCCCATCGTATCACTTATTTCAGGCACTAAAGCGTTGATCTCCGACCGCCAGGATAGCAAAACGGAGTGTATAGCGGAATAGGTGTTGGTGGGCTGGTAGAACCCCAGAGCAGTATCTAAACTGCCCCTGGAAGAGAAACCCTGTGTCGTTGGGAGACTCCCTGGTAATTAGGGCAGCTTCAGGACCCACAATCCCTAAACCCCCATTTTGATCACCAGATATACCAATTAAAACAATGCAAATGTAATGTCAAACACAGCCAGAGTTAAATATTAATATCACAGCAGTGATATTACCACATCAGCAGAGCATATGTCATATTTCAACATCAATCAAAACCACAGTAACCAATGTGAAACTATAGTTTAACCTTAGCAGAGTTTCTATTCCCCTTAAACAATTTCAAATTCAAATTATCAACTAATGTCAGCCTTTTCCAAGGAAGGGTGTTCTTACCTCACTCTAAGACCAAGCAGATACCTTCAGAGACCACGAGAGAGACCAGAAATTGGGTCGAAATGTACAAAGTACAAACCGGATTTATTAAGGTTTTAACAAAAATAGAGGATTTACAAGAATCCAAAAAAATAACAAAGACACAAGGTCTAAGAACAAAAGCAACAGGTTCACAAGTCAAATGTCCTAAAGCAGTCTAAAAGAGCCCAAGCCCAGGCCCAGGGCCCAAGGCCCAGAACTTCTGATATTTGAGTTGCACTCATTTAGTAGTCTCAATTCAGCACCATCAGATTGTGGTGCAGAAAGCAGAGTTGCTGAGAGGCTCCACTAGCAGCCGTCACAGTCCCAGTCGTCCCAGCGCGTCACAGTTTCTCCGCTGCAGTTTCACTCGGTCGACCCCTAATGCGCATAGGTCAAAAGTTCAGAATGTTCTATCTAGTTTCACATGCCTGGTTTCATACGTCTGAAAAGACATGATGGAAACATACATCCTTTCTATTTACAGCCAATTTAGTATCTTTTTATCAATGGTAAGCTCAGTGGCGGTGCCAGGGTATGGCTGGGGTAGGTTACAGCCATACCAAGAAATGGCTTAGCCCCACCATGAAAAATGATGTTAAAGTAAGCAAAATAAAGTCTGCCAACTCAATAAAACATCTTTGATAATGTCTTCTGGCCAATCAGAATCAAGATAACGGCGTGGTGTTGTTGCAGGAAGTCCCGACGGAGAATACTTTTGCGGTAGTACATCTCTATATACATCGATACAACATTACGTGTTGATAGAAATCAACACGTAATGAAATAAGACCCCACGGTTTGATGATTGATAGGTGGGTGGGCATTTTGACACACAGAACAATGGGGGCTATCCACCCTTATCCACAATGTAAAGTAATTCACAGCCTCTTCCCTCTTCTCTCTGTGAGGAGCAGCAGGTTCAGCTTTCAGAACAAAGTAACAAAAAACAAAAATGGCATTCATTTTTTTTAAATATGTCGTGTAGTAATAGATTTATTTATTTTTCTTCTCGAGAGTACCAGAATGTGTATTTTATGTTAGTATTTCAAAAAATCTCCTGGGGGAGAATCCCCCCAGGCCCCCCTGCAGGGGTTGGATTTTCAGCATGTCAACTCTAGCTTAATAGAGGTAGGTGAGGTAAAGGTCAGGTCTGACACGGCCACTTACTGTAAACAGCAGAACTGTCAACTTGCAATATTGGTTTATTCAGCGCAGCAGCAAGGCGTGGGAATATAATTTTAACGTCTGTTTATTTGTTTATTTATCAAGTCATATTGTTACTGGGATATTCATTAACTTTGTCGCATATTTTCCTCATATCCTTCAGCCCTTGTGCAATAGCACATTATAAAATTGAGGCAACTATGTTGTTTCTCTGTGATAATATTTGACATGGGACCAAAGTCCATGTTTCTGCCCTACTTTGCTCCATGGTATAATCTCATGTCGTCCACTTGTTCAAACAATATTGAGTAGGGAATCCTTTGTTCTCTTCTCAAGGAAAAACGTTTCATTTGCTAAGTCAAACATAAAGTTCAGTGCCTCACTTTTAAACCTGCAGAGTACCACATACAGTTGCAAGAAAAAGTATGTGAACCCTTTGGAATTACCTGGATTTCTGCATAAGTTGGAAATAAAATGTCTTCTGATCTTCATCTAAGTCAAAACAATAGACAAACACTAATAATAATAGACTGCTTAAACTAATACCACACAAACAATTATATGTGCATATTATTGAACACACCATGTAAACATTCCAGTGCAGGGTGGAAAAAATGTGAACCCCTAGGCTAAAGACTTCTTCAAGAGCAAATTGGAGTCAGGAGTCAGCCAACCTGGAGTCCAATCAATGAGACGAGATTGGAGGTGTTGGTTAAAGCTGTCCTGCCCTATAAAAAAATACACACCAGTTTTGAATGTGCTATTCTTAAGAAGCATTGCCAGATGTGAACCATGCCTCGCACAAAAGAGCTCTCAGAAGACCTACGATTAAGAATTGTTGACTTGCATAAAGCTGGAGAGGGTTACAAAAGTATCTCTAAAAGCCTTGATGTTCATCAGTCCACGGTAAGACAAATTGTCTATAAATGGAGAAAGTTCAGTTGCTACTCTCCCTAGGAGTGGCCGTCCTGTAAAGATGACTGCAAGAGCACAGCGCAGAATGCTCAATGAGGTGAAGAAGAATCCTAGAGTGTCAGCTAGAGACTTAAAGAAATCTCTGGCACATGCTGTTGACGAATCTACGATACGTAAAACACTGAACAAGAATGGAGTTCATGGGAGGAAGCCACTGCTGTCCAGAAAAAACATTGCTGCACGTTTGAAGTTTGCAAAAGAGCACCTGGATGTTCCACAGCACTACTGGCCAAATATTCTGTGGACAGATGAAACCAAAGTTGAGTTGTTTGGAAGGAACACACAACGCTATGTGTGGAGAATCCAAAGGGTTCTTGCAACTGTATGTGCCCGTGGGAGCTGGTTAGTTTTTCACAGTGTTCTATCAACATAACATTGACAGTCATTTGTTACAGACATGGGAATGGGGAAATATGGTCTTTAACGGGGGAATAATTTGTAAATTTATTTGCGCATGTGTGTGTCTCTCATAGTGTTATATACCATTACCAAGTAGTGATGTGTCGGTCGCAAACGACTTTTAAGTGTACAACGGGAGCCGGCTCGCGCCCGCGAAAGAGACGGTTTTTTTCTTTTTGTTAAGTAATACAAGACGATATGATGATCTCTGCGCTACGGGTGCTTCGTGCATGCATGCATGCATGTTGTGACATGTAATATCCAAGGATTAGAGACTGTTGGATGCTGCTGTTTTGCACATTGCAATATATTTATTTTCACCATGTTATTTATTTATGATTATCTTTAGGCTCAGCAAAGATTTTCTGTCAGCTGTCGCTGTCTTTTTTTCTTTAGTTAATACTGAAATAGAGCCCTGCTGTTTTGTTAGGGCTTTTTCTTTAAATACAATTTTTAAAATGTCGATACAGTAGCTATCCTTTTTTTAAATGTCTATGCTTAAGTTTTTATAGGTGTTGCTATCTGCTTTGTGTAGCGTGGTCAGTGCAATCATTGGGTGGTATCACAGAGTTACAAGGGTCTGTAAATGCAATGAAAACAATTGGCCACAGCAAACCATTTATATTACAAATGTAATTTTTACTTTTGAATACTTAATAACAAAGGATGTATTGAATAAAAGTGATATATGTGTACACATATACATCATTAGTCAAAACAGGCTACATTTGACTGAATTATAAAAGGTATATGTGGTAAAATGAAGAGCCGTTTGGGAGCCGAAAGAGCCAGCTCTTCTTGGTGAGCCGAGCCAAATGATCTGGCTCACTAAAAGGAGCCGGAATTCCCATCACTACATCAAAGGGCCTTCAGAGTTATCTAAAATGGACGGCATCTATAATGGTCTTTTCTAGTTTACCCACCACTCAAAGTGCTTAGCAAAACATACCAACCAACCAATTCACCCATTGATATGCTGACATAAGTGACTTTGGTTATGGGTTTGACTCACGGACACTAAAATACTCTGGAGGAGAGATCTAACCAGGATCCTTTGTGATAACAAAACGACCGCTCTACCTCCTGAGCCATGGCAAACCTTATCTATAATGTTTGTGCTTGCCAAGAAAGGGAAAAAAGATTTGATTATAATCTAATCTGTGGTTATCATTTACATAGAGTCTCATGGGTATGATCTACTGACTATGACCTGAATATGAAAACACAACAAATAAGAAGAGGGCAAGTTGGGCTGATTGAGGAATGTCTTCAAATGTTATTCATTAACCTGTTGAACCTTAGCTCTCATATTTGTGTGTTTAGAGTTGGTGAATAATTTACCACAATCACGCATATGGTTTCTGTGTAATTTGTATCCCATAGATGACTGAAGAAAAGTTAATTAGAGATCAAAAAGGTCTGGCTTGAAGTTGCAAAACCTTTATAAACAATAGAATGTGTTTATTTAGGTCAATCTATCCTAGGATGTCCATGTAGGCATTACTTATGTAGACTGCAGGAACAAAGCCTTGATCCTAGTTCATATATACATGCCCCTCCCAAACCTGACCTTTCCCAAGGTATATGACTGCTGGGTTAATGTTTAAACATGTGCCGGTGTGCACAGGTCTTCACTTGTAGAAACTCACAATTTACAATGATGTCACGACTGACACCAGGGATGATACAATTAGATTAAATGTTCTACAATAAAAACATTTATTTAGTTCATAGCATTGAACTCCAGTTTTGCTGTAGTTAATGTTTTTAGCTTTTTTTGTTTGATTTTCATTTCCATTCTGTTTCTATTTAGCTTACATTTTTAAAATGACCATCAGCACTGCTGTTCAAAGTCCAAACTATGTTATAATTGACCCACTGGGGATGGATAACTAAACTCTGAATTTTCTTTAAAAAAAAGTTCTCCTTTTACTTAGTAAACACTTTACTTAAATAATTCTTATTAATGACAATATCACATTGGCATCCTGTCTCACAGTATGATATGCAAATGAGTGCAGTATTTTACTACTACGAAGAGGGATCATGTAAGTTGGAGGAATAAAAGGAGATAAGAATGTGGGTGAAAAATAGGAGATAATTATGACCCTACTGCTCACATTTGTATATATTTATTAAGGCAAGGCACGTTTATTTATATAGCACCTTTCAACACAAGGCAATTCAAAGTGCTTTACAAAAAACGAAAGACATTAAGAAAATGGCATTTAAAATCAGTCATTAAAAAGAAAAAATAATAAAATAAACATTAAAAGAAAAAATACATGGATAAAAGTTACAGTGCAGTCTAAGATGTGAATAGTTCAATTAAAAGCAGCGGCAAAGAGAAAAGTCTTCAGCCTGGATTTAAAAGTAGTCAGAGTTGCAGCGGACCTGCAGGTTTCTGGGAGTTTGTTCCAGATATTTGGACCATAATAACTGAAGCTACTTTACCATGTTTAGTTCTGACTCTGGGGACAGAAAGCTGACCAGTCCCTGAAGACCTGAGAGATCTGGATGGTTCATAATTTAGCAGGAGGTCAGAAATGTATTTTGGGCCTAAACCATTCAGTGCTTTATAAACCAGCAGCAGTATTTTGAAATCTATTCTTTGACACACAGGAAGCCAGTGTAAAGACTTCAGAACAGGAGTGATGTGATCCACTTTCTTAGTGTTAGTGAGGACTCGAGCAGCGGCGTTCTGAATTAGCTGCAGCTTTCTAATAGATTTTTTTAGTGAGACCTGTGAGTAAAGCATCCTACTGGCTCTTGATCATGCCTTCATTAACACAGTTGATAAGGTGTGGGACTGCTTGTCTAGTAAGTGCCTGCAATCATTTCAATTTAACCACATGGAAAAGAGAATATGAAAAGCAGCATTCTGTGGCATGGAATAAACAGGTTTGTGAAGCCAGTGCCTTTTAGTAGCTGGGGCTGGGCAGAGTCACTGTTGTGATTTAGGAGGATCAGTTTATGGTTGTCAGTAAGCTTGCCAGGGTTATATCTCTCACAGGCTCCGCCCTCTACCGGACTCTATGGGTACTCCCCTCGATCCTATCTATGCACGCATTCTTTCACTGAGACTCATACCCGTAGCCGGCCCCCTGGGCGGGCCTACCTGAATGCGAGCGCATCCACTGCATAAGAGGCGGCCTTGCCCGCTCACTGCTATCCCTTTCTCTTTCAGCTAAGCAGCTATTGAGTAACTGAGCGAGAGATAAATAGGATGGAAAGAACAAGAAACAGTTTTTTTTCTTCTCTCCCTGGCTATGGGAGAGGTGAGGGAGGCGCAGCGGCTGCTAAACAGAAAGCCGGTCTCAAACAGGGGGATGGAGCGGTATTCTCGCGGGACAGCAGAGCGGGTATATGTCGGGCTCCGCCCCCTGTGCCCATAGAGTCCAGTAGAGGGCGGAGCCTGTGAGAGATATAACGTAGGGTTACGTATAGTAACCCATGTTGTATAAGCACAGCGGAGCCCTCTGCTTATGGAGCACTGCTGCCTATGCTACTCAGCTAAAAGAGAAAGTAAAGGGAGGCCCGCCTAGGGGTCTGGCTACGGGTATGAGTCTCAGTGAAAGAATGCGTGCATAGATAGGATCGAGGGGAGTACCCATAGAGTCCAGTAGAGGGCTCTGCTGTGCTTATATAACATGGGTTACCATACGTAACCCTACGTTATAGTTAAAGGGTGTTGTGTGTTGGAATGTGAGGTGATATATTTAACTTTGCATGCAACATGCGTTAGGAATGTTTGATCATTTCTAATTTGTGTCTAAAAAACTACAAAGGCAACATCAGGCACCGACCTTTTACACTGAGGTAGCAGAAAATGGTACTCCACATGTAGTTATCTGACTACATTGGTTTAAAATCTGTTGCTAAAGGCAGGAGCCTCTTAAGCCCCAAGATTTAGTATTTGATATTCAATGGTAATTTGGCTTTCGGTCCTTCCAAACTGATGGAAAAGGGAAGAGGGCAAATCAAAGTGACAGGAACCAAGTCAAATGAATCAAGTCATTGATAATTGCATGAATGTAGGCTTTGATTGGCAGGACAGTGAATTGGTGCTTTGTTGAAAAGAGAAAGAGAGATGAAATACTTTGGGTTAGGGAGGGAAGGAGACAGAGATGGACGGATGGGGTCGTAATGCTCATTGTGTGCTGCATTTGGTGGAAATTGCTTCCGCACATGCAAACACAGACACTTTCAAACATACACAATGTTGTACACATTCTCTACCATCCGTTTCATTCTGTTCTGAGGAAAATAGATCAACTCTTGTTTTCCCCTTTGTTCACTTTCTGCATCATGTAACTGTTAGACTCCTCATTTAGCCTTCTGCAGTATCTCTAGGACCAATTATACATACTGTACATCCTCTGCCCTCGCTATGTCCCTCAAGTATCACCAGTGAAAGATCAACATTAAGTGAAATACATTAACTCGTTAGCCCCAACAGTATTTTAATATTGTATTAAAAACACATTACCCTCAGACAGCTAGTAAAATGGCTAGTTTAGGAAATACTAAACTAATCTCAGAAAAAATAGATTTAAGGTCTGGCTCGAAGTGTCTCCTGAAAATAACACCAGTCTTAATGACAATGGCCCCTTACACTCTTTCTCCCATACCCTGCTCTGACCGCACCTATCTTCAAACTCGCCCATGGTTTTGATCTCAACTACACACCAGTAAAGTGTCATAACTGTGTCTTGCACAGTTTTGACACACCTTGAAGCAACAGTTATGCGGGTAGATTTCTGCAACACAATAGTGTGTTGCAGAAATCTACATGCTGGCAGACCAACAGATAGACATATAAACACCTAGCTCTCCTCCGTAGTGGTTCACGCTTCAGTAGGTGTTTGCAGGAGCACATTTCGCAATGAAGCCAGCCACACAATAATGTGTGAATAGCGTCTAGGGGATTTTAATTGGTGTTCACACATTGTGATGGTGAACTAAACCATCTTATCATTATTGTCTTTTTTGATTTCTTAGATTCTCTGGAGTTCCACCCAGTAACCTTGGCAATAACACCAAGCTTGTTGATTGGATGCCTCAGAATGACCTATTAGGTAAGTACACCTCAAGGACAAACACCACTTACTGTAATGTGTAGTCCACCCATCATGTGTATATTATCAACAGTCAATTTGACTTACTGAGCAACTGAATTGCTTCAAGGTGTTTCTTAACAGACATCTGATGCTTGGTGTTTTATACAACATGCTTTAACTCATGGTGTTGTGTACTGTTTTTCATGGTTGGGTTCCTCCCTTACCTACTTATGAACCATTGTGGATGGTATAATGTGAATGTGTAAGCCACATTTGCTATCTTTGTGCAAGTCAGGGATGCACAACAATCAGATATTGACAGTAAGCATTATATTCTGAATTGGTGCTATAGAACTGTGGTTAGCCAAGCCTTCAAAATACACCAGTCTGTCTATATCTCAATTTAGGTGCTAAATTACCTTAAACCATGCAAGTAAACATAAAGGGCCCAGATTAAGACGGAAAATAAGTTGGGCCGTGTTTATGGTGACATTTTTATTAAAGAATGAAGGGCATTTACTTTGAAATGTATTTCTTTATAAAAACTATAAACAATATTTGATTAAATATACTGTTAGAAAATAAACACTTATACACACACATACAGTCCGTACTCCTCTAACGGGCCGTCAAACACAGCAGCGTTAAAAATGGTCAATGGGCTTCTGGGGTGACGTAACTTTGCCTCACTTTTCGCCGAACTGCATTGTGGGGAAGCAAAGCGAAGATTTCCAGGATTCAAAAGTTGAGCAATGTTCAACCTTTGAAGCTGAGGTGGAAGCGTCAGCCAATCAAATCCCGTTTATGCAAATCTGACAGTACAAGCGCTAGCCAATCAAACCGCGTGCAAGCTGGGAGAGCCAGACCGCAGTTCATTTTCTATATTCCTGAAAATGGAGGAGAAATTAGTAATTGCGGTAGCAAATCACCCGGTTCTTTATGACCAGTCGCTAATAACTTACCGGGATACAAACCGGAGGAACCAGGCATGGAGGGAGGTGGCAGAGACAGTGGGTGAAACTGGTAGGTTTTTGCCTGTTTGGGGATTTTATATCCAGTTTACTTCGTTTTAACATTGCTATTGCTTTGTATGTCGGGAGATTCATGTGATTGGTTGTTGGTCGCGTTGCTCGCAAAAAATCCCCAAGCTTTCAGACACGCCCACCTCCAAGATTTTCAAGATTTTTTTAACGCTGCTGTGTGGACGGGCCGTAACTGTAAACCATCCTACCCGACCTCCGTGTGCAGAGCAACAGTGAAGTACTGCAGAGTGTGCAGACATATTTGGGCTTTACTCTTTAAACTGTAAATAACCTAGCAAAATATGCACCGAAAAATGACTTGTGAACTTAACACCTAACATGCAAATGAACATCCTTCATCCCTCCTGTCGTCCAGGCCACGCTAACACAAAGGCCTTCCTGAGTCACGGTGGTCTGAACAGCATCTACGAGGCCATGTATCACGGGGTGCCGGTGGTAGGTGTGCCCCTGTTTGGAGACCACTATGACACCATGACTCGTGTGGCAGCTAAAGGTATGGGTATCATGCTACACTGGAAGTACATGACCGAGGAAGACCTTTATACAGCCCTGAACAGCGTCATCAAAGACAGCAGGTTAGATTTCGAAGTCTTGTATGCACTGTCACACACAAATGCTTTGTATATGAGTGTTATGGTTCATTAGTGCCATCTGTTGACCAGATATAGAGCCCTTTAGCTTGCTGAATGATTGCAGATAAAGGTTGTTTCCACATTTCTTCCTACCTAGGTACCGCCAGCAAGCACAAACTCTTTCCAACATTCACAAAGACCAGCCAGGCCATCCAGTGACCAGGGCCGTCTACTGGATCAGCTACATCCTGCGTCACAACGGTGCCAACCACCTTCGCTCCGCTGTGTACGACGTGTCCCCCTACCAGTACTTCCTGCTGGATGTGATTTTCACTGTAGGAGCGGCCCTGGCTCTGTTTGTCTTTGCACTGCGACGGTTGGTACGAATGCTGAGGGGGAAGACCGATGACAAGAGAAGAGGAAATGGCGTCTCCAACGATGACGGTAACATGGCCAACGGACATTGTCATAGCGAGAGCCTGGCCAATGGGAAGCAAAAACGCAATGGCTCCTTGAAAAACGAGAAGAAGATTAACTAATGTTTCAAATGGCCAAGAAGGACGAGGAGGAAGTTGCCCCAAGGACTCAGCTCTAGGTTTTGTTAAGTGATTTTATAAAAGCTTTGAAGGAAAGAGTTTCTTAGTTCTGTGTCGAATGGCAACTGCTACTCAAAGCGTGAAAGAGGCTGTAGGAGGATACACAATGCATCGGGTGCTCAAAATCTGTGTTTGTGTGTTTGTATGTGTATGTGTGCACTGAGGCAAATGTAACAAAAACTCTTAACAAAAGCAGCTACAGCAATACAACACCAAATAGGAAAGTGATTAAGAATGAAACACAGGAAAGACACATTAGCAGGAAATTGTCTCTCCTACATGATCTCTGTTGTCTTCCTGCCTTCATTACCAGTGAAAGGATGATGAAGAGGAGAAATCCTGAGCGCCAACAACTCATCCTTAGAAAACAAATAGATAACTTTTGAAATAGTTAGATTTAATGTCTTTAACTGCAAACTCTGCTTCTTCAAATGTCTGGTAAACTGTAAATAGAGAAAACATCTATTTATTACTGTAAAAAAGCTTTTTAATGAAGGACCTTTTTAACCTCTTATTCTTATTTTTAATGTATGACATGTATCAATGGTGTTAGAGCATTATGTTAATTGTACACTCCCTCTTTACAATATTGTGTGCGTCCTAAAAGTGGAACATACAAAACAAAGACTGAGAGATGCAATCATTATACGTTTGCACAGGTCTTTGCTTTCTACAGTTGCATTATCCACAGAATTCATGGTCGTCTTATTTTCAGATTTATCAGTGTTGAAAACATTCAAATTGTTTCCCTTTTCACATGTTAGGGCCATCCCGTGACTTTACTGTTTGTTCTTGTAAATAATATCTCAACTGTATTTGGCTTAACAATGTGAAAAGGAATATCATGTTATCATTCAAACATATAATACAATAAAGGCTACTACCAATGATACTGTGGAAAGGCAGAGACTGCTCTAGATGTGCTTAAGCTCATGCAGTCATGTGATCAGGGATGAGTCAGAGCATTATTAATTTATGACTACTCGCTCCGTGAGTCCACTATCTTTATTCTGCATCCCTCATCCATTATAAGTGATTAGTGAGAATTCATCACTTGTTGGCCATTTTTAGTGCTACACTTGATTTTGTACATCATTCCTATATGATTGGATTGAATGTTAATTTCTAACAAAGCTTGTTTCAAATTACACAGTTCAGGTAGAAATCCATTCAAGACTTCTGCAAATTAAATTATATTAGATTTAGCAATTGCGTTTTTAAAAAAAAAAACTAAAATAACTAGGCTTTTCAGCCATTCTGTGAAGTCATCAAATTAAGTGTACATCCATGCACTTGATTCTTTATTTCATTCAATAAGACCAAAGTTGCACCCTGTAGCTTTTTTTCATCTTATGTGTCAATCCACTCCAAGTTTGCTCTGGTTTCTAGGCTGTCTGTTAATTCTTAATGCAAATGGAGGAAGGGTGTAAGGAGTGACTTAGTTCCTTACTACTTCTACAATACAATACCATGTCAAAGTGACACTGATCCTTGCAAAGAAATTCTCTTTACTTGAACCCCTGTCGATGAGATCAAAGTACAGGGCGAGCAGAATAGTATTTTTAGAGTTAGTCCGGATTTGGTATTGTGATAATGGGCATTTCAGGAGGGAATGTCTTCCCAGACTTGCAGATGGATGGTTTATCACAGGTCTAAATAAATGCATTTATTTTCCTCCATTGTTCAAGCATCACAGCACAGACATCTATATTTGGATTTGGAACATTGGCATTCAGATATTGTTTAGCAACTTACTCAAGCATGGACAATACAGCAGTGTTTTTACAGGAAACGAAAGAAAATGCTATCACTTAAATGTCAACAATTGTTGAGGGCTGATAATTCAAACCACATGTGTATTCACATATCCTGTATGATAATAAATAAAAGTGTTCCTTTCTCTGTGAGCTACGACTACACTTGCAAAGTCCAACCCAGCCCTGCTGAAAACAAGCCATTATACTTGAATCATTGTCATTATAATCATCTTCTATTAAAGTTCAACTGATGGGTTTGCAAGGTGGGCCTGCAAGTGCTGCACAAGCTATGAACAGGGTCTGGAGAGAGAAAAACACAAATTGTGAATATACATAATTTTTCATTATTTTCAGTATAAATGTTAAAGCTCTGATTAAATGTCCACCCATGCCCATTCTTTACTCGTCTGTTCCCTGCAGTCCGACATGTCTCTGTTCTTGTGGCGTTTGCATTTCATCAGCTTGAATTTCTCTTTGTTCTGTCTTCAATAGTGCACTGCCTGTTCCATTTGTCCACTTCTTTGTCCTACTTTTTCACTTCCTGGTGTCATTGTATTCTTGTGTTATTCCTCCTCTCACTTAAATATCAGATGTCTCTGCTTATTTTTCAAAAACCTTTTCACTTTTATTTTCAAATGACAAAGTCCTCAATTTGCCTGTCATGTGTGTCCATGTTGTAAATAGAACAGTGTAAACAAAATACTAATGCTGAATAAAAATTACATATTTTGTTTGCAGAGATGATTGATACTTCTTTTCCTCAAAAAAGTGGCCAAGGCATTTCAATTGTCCTTAGTTTTGAGAAAATAAAGTTAAAGAACACTGATGAAATAGTAAATGAAAAGTTGTACTGTAGTTTCTGATGTATGGTCGATCAATATGTTGCTTCTCCTATTTGCTGTTGCATGTTATCAGTACACAATATTGAACAGATAAGGGCATACAGTGCATACTTTTGAGTCCTGGCAGATGGTGAAGCATTTGATGCTGACAGTCTCAGTTTGATAGGGGATGTATAGGCTTTTTGTCGGGAATTGTTACCAGGCAGCAAAGAGGTTTTGTAGGTATCAGATGGTAGGATCATCGAAAGTAGCCAACTGCACAGACGCATGCACACAAGACGGGTGGATAGATAAGGTTATCTAATGCTGTATGCTTGTGCTGAGTGAGGCTAGGCTCACTGGCCTCGCTCACTGGCCCTGTTAATTATTCACACCGCCTGCAGGGTCCCGCTGTCCTCACACACACATAGTCAGAAGCATCTGCAGGTATGTTTAATTTACGTTCCTGAAGTTGTTTTCTTTTGTTGTCGCTGGTAGCCAAATCAGGCACTGTTCTGTTAACTGAGACAGGAAGGGGGGAAGGAATAGAGGACAGGCCTCTGCTGATGAGGAATCTGATATCATAGAAAGCACAGCAGGCATCATTCATGACATCCTCCATTCATTCTCAGCCATCCCTCCCTCCTCAGACCTTGTAAGTGCCTATTATCTACCTTTCCTCTCCACCTCAGCAGACAATCATCTGGAGCAATTAACCACTTTGTGTTGGACTAAGTGGGCTTACTTCATGGACTAAAAGCCCTGCCTCTCTGCACAAGATCTAAGTGATGGATTTGTCAAATGTTTGACAACAGGGTTTGGTCTAATCTTCCTAACACATCCACACTCTTTCATGTGTGGGTTATAGGCTAAAAGGATATAGTGGGGATTGCATGTGTGGACTTAACCACGTTGTTGACCAAGCTTGTGCATGGTAGTGTGTGTGAACAATGCCCAAGGGTGTGTACCAGTTTTGAAATTGTTGACTTAGCTTATATAACCATAAATGAGCGATGGCCTTCCATTAATCTCTGTCACAGCAAATATATAAGAGCTCTACCTATGGAGAGAGGGATATCATATTTCTTTGCAACATGTTTGTGAGGATTGAAAGGCTTTCCTAAGATAAGATAATACTTTATTTATCCCAAAGGAAATTGTTGTGCCAGAGTTACAAAAATACAATAAACACAGCAGCATAATAGTAAAACTGTACACTATCAGTGCAGTAAAAAGAGCAATCAACCACATCAACTCCAAAGCTAAACTGACCTTGACCGTATATGTAGTGGAAAGAGAGAAAGATCAATGAGTTCAATGGAAGTCCTGTTAAAAACCCCGAGCCTGTTTTTCAGGTTTCAGGCTCGAAAATGACATTTCCAGAACAAATGACCATATCTTCCCTTCTAAAAGGGTTAAATTAATAATCTTTTTTCTCAAAGTAATGATAAACCTGTGAGTTGGATGTAGAAAAGTCAGATTTAATATAGATGTTTTTTATTTTAAAGAAAATTCAGATTGAACATGGTAAAAAACTGTAAATTATAGTGTCCGTCCAAAAAACATGTTGTAGGCTACTTACAGTATAGTGAAAACCAGTGTTGGGAGTGGACTAACGCATTACTTTTTAAATTCAGTAACTCAGTTACCGTTACTACATGGTGCGTTACTCCGTTACTGCGTTAGTTTTTTTATATAGTCAACAGCCAGGCGAACAGAGATGAGAACTGTACTTAAGTACAGTACTTGAGTAAATGTACTTAGATACTTCCTGTGTCACATGCGGAGACGGGCTGTGGGCGTGTTTGTGTTGTTTACTAACAAGACTATCATGGCGGCGGCGGAGCTCAAGTCTAGTTTCTCCACCTGGAGATATTCTCACTATTTCACTTTTGTCGAGCACAAAGAAAAGAAAGTTTCTGTTAAATGTAAGTTGTGTCCCGGCGGGTCAAATAGCCTATCTACTGCCCAAACCAGTAATTCAAATCTCTTAAAACATATGCAAAAACAACATGCTGGGACGAAGCTATACTAAGATCGGCACAGACCCAGACTCATCCAACGCGACTCCACCTCCACCTACGTAAGCAACAGCGGCTGGAATTTAATCAAGGGACTGCTAGCCAGGGAAAAGTTGATAAAGCCATTGCACGGTATATTGTAGAACACATGCAGGCTATTTCTACAGTGGAGCCACCCGCTTTCAGGGAGCTAGTATGAAGGTAGATATGGTGCAAAATGCGAGAGTGTGTAAAACCTGATGTGAGTACTTGCAGAAAAAAAATCTGAGCTTGTGTGCATACATTTACACTTGTATAAAATATCCACGTAACTGTGAACCAAATGTACACTTGTATAAAATATCCACGTAACTGTGAACCAAATTTGAAGTCACAGAAGAAAAAAAAAGTGTTGTAGCTTGTAGAAAAAAAATGAACTTAGTGATGAAATGTTCACTTGCAGAAAAATACATATTTTTAAAATATATTTTCCATTACAACTGCAACTTTATTTATTACAACCTCTCAAATCAGTCATTACAACGTGACGAATCTGCTCTGTGGCAGTATAAATCGACGAATCTGCGGTCTTGACTTTTGCTACACTTCTTGCGATAAATGTGTTGCAAAAGTAATGTTCACCTGTATATGTGGGGGGAGGGAGGGGGGTTAGAGCGAAGGGGCGGAGCTATCAGAACAACGAGGCTCGGGTCAGTCACACAGTCACGTCGAACCGGATGACTGCGGGGCTAACGGTTCGTGTCGCTCCCAGTCCGCTGACATGGCGCACCAATCAACGGTACATTTTGCCCATTACTTGCCCAGTATTACTTTGAATATTATTATTGTGATTGAGGATTAAATCCACTTTGAAGACCACCGTTTTATATCGTGCATTTTAGCGGCAAAATAACGTCAGTCAGCCAGCTAACGCTAGCTTTGTTGAGTTTATGCTAGCTAAACAAGTAGTGGTTGTAGTCTACAGCAGTAATTAATATATTATAGCCTACTGCTTTGGCACTAACGGTTGATAACCGTTTATGAAAATAAACTGTACTGAAATAATGACAAGTTTTATAATTGTCTTGGGCTCCTGCTGTGTTTTTAAAGCCTTTGTAAATTATCCATGCTATTTTCTATTTAGAACGAAGACTTCAGAATCTTAAAATCCCTTAACGTTTGTATGCAATTGTGCTAAATTCAACTCTGGAATCAAGCAAATATTAATATGTTTGCATGACATTAGTTATTTATATGTTGCCATCACTGAACTATACGTTTAATACATTTAAGTCAAGCTAAGGTACATGTGATGGAAGCTAGTTAGTGCTCTTACCTGTGATGCCTCCTCCAAACAGCATAATAACCAGACTGTATCATTAAAACTAAGTACCAGTTCTAGATCCTTGACTTTAGACAAACAATTCAAAAGACAACATGTATTTAAAGACCAATCTTTATTTGAAGGTGCCTCTTAACCTGAGATATTAGTTATACAGTAATAGTATTGACAATCTAAAAAAACTGAGCAACTCAACAGTCAACTTTATGTTTCTTATTGTCTAAAGCATTTATTATTTTCATTTCCCCCCTCTCATATTCAGTGTGGACGGATTGAGACAGTGTGGTGTCCAGAGAGCTGCAGAGACTTCAGGGAGAAACCTCCGTGTGATGGACGTCCTGTCTGTTGGTTTGGAGAGGACTGAGGGTCTTTCCTCAGCGAGGAGGACCAGGCCTGATGGAGGAGCCCATGCTGGGCATAGCTGATACCAACTGCACAGGCCTAGTCTGTCACTTTATTTGACTACATGTGTTTACTTATACATTTAATAGGTTCACACCTTCTGTCCATATGTGCTTTTTATTTAAAACATGTTTGATTAACTTTTTGTTCACATTTGAATAAATTGTATTTGTATTTGCACTCCTTTTGTCCATTATTCTTACTGAAAATGATAGATTACACATTCACATCTGACTGAAGATTGGCCCCATTTATTTGTGACGTTGCAAACTCTGCGGTTCAAGGCACAAGTGATGTGAAGCTCATAAAGTGAGGCAAATAGAAATAATCAGCTGATGGAGTGTAGATGTGGAAATAGATGCATCCCATCAGCTGACTATGTTTTTCACCACACTTTATAAGCCTGACTATAACCACCCCTTCTCTGAGGTGCAGGCAGCGTCACAAACAAATGATGGTCCTGATAGACTACAAAAATATTCGGTGTGCAGATCTTTTTTTTCACAATAAAAGTAGTTTCTTAGTGAATGTCCTGTACTGGTCTTAAAATCTCATAACATCAGCTTTTAATGTTCCTCTTGGATGTTCTTCTTGACCCTCAGAGAAGGAGAAGATGTCGTGTCTTTCAGGCATGTCCTTCCCTAACAAAAATTACAGGAAACATAAAACATTATTGCAGAACAAGTGTGTTATTTATGAAAGAGGTGTGTTTGTGTGTTTAGGGGCTGTTGATATAATTATTTTTTAATTGTAATCAGATTATGAATGAACAGTATGAAATTCATCAACATTGAAATATGTTATTATCAAAATAATATTGAACTGTTATCAAAACGTAGTGCAACTGTAGAAGCTTGCTCCGTTGTCTCACTGAAAGAATAACCTTTACCACGTTTTTTACAGACAATATTGAGAGATAAATAGTAGTAGTTCTCACTATGTGTTAAATATCTTTGCCTTCAATACATTAAATTAGAAATCTGACAAAGTCATATTGCTTGTTAACATCTAAATGTAACCTTTTGCATGGAAAAAAACCTCAACTTCACTGGTGTGTAGGTGATCTAGTATTGTTTAATGGAATGTATATCAGTGTATTCAAGTCAATACTTCATTCATTTAAACCAATATCTTTCTTGATTCTTTGTACAGTATGAAAAAAGAGTCTTTGTACCTG